AATTAATAAGAAGGAAAGAAAGAAAAATAAATTCATTGTCATATACCCCCTTCCCAGGATTAAAAATGTTCTCTTCTCTCAGAGAAGTCTGCAAAGGTAGCCACCCACCGCCGGCGAGTCCTTTCCCTCCAGAGTCCAGAATCCACCTGCACACAACACCCTCTGTCCTGGACATCCTTCTAGTTCCTGCCCGCCTTGAAGGAAGCTATGCTTTTCCCTGACTGGCCAGGGTGGATTTCACTGAGCGCTTTTCCCAAGAACCCTGTTCCACCTTGGAACCAGCCTGAGCTGGACTCCTCCTCCCAACCCACTATGGTGCAGCTCTCAAGCCAGTCTCACTCCACCCAGAGTGCTTAGAAAGGAGAGACCAGAATTTGGGGCCAGGGCATGGAGGCTAACTGGGCCTGGTAGCTGGATTCACCTTGTGGTCCCAGATGGAGGCTGGGGAGAGGAGAGTCAAATTAACACAGATTGGGCAGGGGCTGAAAGAAAGTGGTGCCAGCCAGGGGCCGAAACTCAGGGTGAGGAGCATTTGCTGTGCTGGGGGGATAGGGACGGGTTCCAGTGGGAATTGGAACTGCAGTCAGCGATTGGGAAAGGAGCCAGGGACCTGGCTCCTTTATCCAATAGGCTATAGGACCAGCTCTGGAATATCTATAGTTTATATAAGTAGAATTATGCCATACGTAAAAGTAGCCTTGCTAAATAAATAAATAATTCCCTGCAGGAACCAAAACATCTTTTTGATACTACTTGAAAATACTTTTATTTTTCTTGGGGAAATAAATGAGGTTAACAGATTATGATTATATCTGCTATCTTTAAAGTCTGTAATTCTTCTAAAAAAAGTACGCATTCACACTGAGGGAGGAGAACTTTTTTTTTTTTAATTGAGAGAATTTTGCTATAGGGTGCATGCACTCACCAGAAAGACAGAGAGAAAGAGAGACAAAAAGCGAGAAATCATCACCCTCCACCCCCAACCCCCGGGAGGACACCAGAACCCCTTTTGCTCCATTCTCCACTCAGGATCGTGGGTATGAACACACACGCTCTCCCCATGAGTTTAAGCTGCCAGGTCAGACTAGAACCATGGTTGACTATGTGGGAGTCCAGCCATGTAACCATTACACCATTTGCTGATCCCTGAGAGAGGAGAACATTTCATATCAGCAAGTTTCTAGGATCATCTTTTTCTGTTTCTGTTTGTTTGCAATGTATTGTGTATAATATTTTCTGATCGCCAGCCTCTGAGGTGTTGTTATGCTCTTCTTCCTGATTCTAGCTTTATTTCCAAGCTCATAGTAACTCGTTACCTACTTCTGGGTTCACAAAGACACAGAACATTTAAGGATTTTTAATTTACCACAACACAAACACAAGAGAGTTTTTTCCTTGTTAAAATAATCTTTTTATGGGGCCACCAGGTGGCAAGGTGGTTAAAGCACTGGATCTTACATGGCCAGCTCCACAGTTTGACCCCCAGGGCCCCAAGGCTTGAAAGACACACCAGGCGTGTGTATCTAAAATACTGAAAAAAGGAATGGAGGAGAAAGGATTACAGCATGGCCACCACTCCAGGGAATGATTTCTCACTTTCCCTCTCTCTCTTTATCTTTCCAGTGAGTGCCTGTATCCTAGAGCAAAAAAAAAAAAAAAAAAAAAAAAAAAAAAAAAACCAAAAAACTATGAAACAAAAACTTCTTATAACAGAGCACATGTTTATATAAATGAGAAATTTCTGCTTCTAGCTCATAAGATTTTTGAAAATAGAGCTGTTTGTGTGCTAAATTTTTATACATAATACTTTCTTTGTAAAACACATTTATTTTGGAATAATTTTAGGTTCACAGAGAAGTTGCAAATACGGGAAATTTGCTAGACCCCTAGCACAGTTTCCCCTAATGCTAATGTCCTATGGAACGCATGTGAACACTAAGACATGAACATTAGTGCATTGCTAATAACTGCAGATTTCACTAGTTTTTCCATTAAAGTCAATGTATTTTTTTAAGAATTATTTTATTTAACTTTATTTTATTTATTTATTTTAATTTGATCAGAGAGGAAGAGACAGAGAGAGAAAGAGAGAGAGAGAGAAAGTGAGAAAGCAAGGAATTCCAAGTCAAGTGTTTTCATCTGGAAGCACGATGATCCTAGTCGACCCCTTTCCAACACAGACAAATATTAGAATTTGTGTGAATATTTTTTCTGCACAGGTCATTTTAAAGGCAGATTCCTTCAACATCCCCTGCATAGGTTTAACTTTATAAAGAATGCGGGCAAACATAAAGTTTAGTAATACACTGGATACATTCAACAGAATTGGCCACTCTGTGCCCCTACAAACACTTTCTTCTCTTCTGGAAAACCATAGCAGTTCCCTCCTTTACTAGCTCTTCTTCCCCTACCTCAGCCTCTGAACGCGGGGGTACCCAGGGCTCATTCCTTACATTTACCTCCTGATTTTGACGGAGATCAAGATAGGCCACCCCAAAATACACTACTTTGGCATAAAAGTTATATTGAGACAAAGGCATTTTATTTCTTTCAATCCCTTATCTGCCTAAGAAGCAGAGCCTCAAAAAATTCAATTGTCAGGACCAGCAGATGGCATAATGGTTATGTTGCTGGACTCCCACATGGCCAACCGTGGTTCAAGTCCTAAACCCAGGCTTAAAACTCAGGGAGGGCATGTGTGCATGTGTGCCCAAAATCCCAAGAGGAGAACAAAGGAGAAGAGATTGCAGCATGGTCATCCCTCCTGGTACAGGTGATTTCTCTCTTTCTGTCTCTGTCTCTTGGGTAAGCACATACATCCTATAGCAAAAATAAATAAATTAATAAGAAGGAAAGAAAGAAAAATAAATTCATTGTCATATACCCCCTTCCCAGGATTAAAAATGTTCTCTTCTCTCAGAGAAGTCTGCAAAGGTAGCCACCCACCGCCGGCGAGTCCTTTCCCTCCAGAGTCCAGAATCCACCTGCACACAACACCCTCTGTCCTGGACATCCTTCTAGTTCCTGCCCGCCTTGAAGGAAGCTATGCTTTTCCCTGACTGGCCAGGGTGGATTTCACTGAGCGCTTTTCCCAAGAACCCTGTTCCACCTTGGAACCAGCCTGAGCTGGACTCCTCCTCCCAACCCACTATGGCCTCAAGCCAGTCCCACTCCACCCAGAGTTCTTAGAAAGGAGAGACCAGAATTTGGGGCCAGGGCATGGAGGCTAACTGGGCCTGGTAGCTGGATTCACCTTGTGGTCCCAGATGGAGGCTGGGGAGAGGAGAGTCAAATTAACACAGATTGGGCAGGGGCTGAAAGAAAGTGGTGCCAGCCAGGGGCCGAAACTCAGGGTGAGGAGCATTTGCTGTGCTGGGGGGATAGGGACGGGTTCCAGTGGGAATTGGAACTGCAGTCAGCGATTGGGAAAGGAGCCAGGGACCTGGCTCCTTTATCCAATAGGCTATAGGACCAGCTCTGGAATATCTATAGTTTATATAAGTAGAATTATGCCATACGTAAAAGTAGCCTTGCTAAATAAATAAATAATTCCCTGCAGGAACCAAAACATCTTTTTGATACTACTTGAAAATACTTTTATTTTTCTTGGGGAAATAAATGAGGTTAACAGATTATGATTATATCTGCTATCTTTAAAGTCTGTAATTCTTCTAAAAAAAGTACGCATTCACACTGAGGGAGGAGAACTTTTTTTTTTTTAATTGAGAGAATTTTGCTATAGGGTGCATGCACTCACCAGAAAGACAGAGAGAAAGAGAGACAAAAAGCGAGAAATCATCACCCTCCACCCCCAACCCCCGGGAGGACACCAGAACCCCTTTTGCTCCATTCTCCACTCAGGATCATGGGTATGAACACACACGCTCTCCCCATGAGTTTAAGCTGCCAGGTCAGACTAGAACCATGGTTGACTATGTGGGAGTCCAGCCATGTAACCATTACACCATTTGCTGATCCCTGAGAGAGGAGAACATTTCATATCAGCAAGTTTCTAGGATCATCTTTTTCTGTTTCTGTTTGTTTGCAATGTATTGTGTATAATATTTTCTGATCGCCAGCCTCTGAGGTGTTGTTATGCTCTTCTTCCTGATTCTAGCTTTATTTCCAAGCTCATAGTAACTCGTTACCTACTTCTGGGTTCACAAAGACACAGAACATTTAAGGATTTTTAATTTACCACAACACAAACACAAGAGAGTTTTTTCCTTGTTAAAATAATCTTTTTATGGGGCCACCAGGTGGCAAGGTGGTTAAAGCACTGGATCTTACATGGCCAGCTCCACAGTTTGACCCCCAGGGCCCCAAGGCTTGAAAGACACACCAGGCATGTGTATCTAAAATACTGAAAAAAGGAATGGAGGAGAAAGGATTACAGCATGGCCACCACTCCAGGGAATGATTTCTCACTTTCCCTCTCTCTCTTTATCTTTCCAGTGAGTGCCTGTATCCTAGAGCAATTTCCGGGGAGGTCCTTTATCAAAAAAAAAAAAAAAAAAAAAAAAAAAAAAAAAAAAACCAAAAAACTATGAAACAAAAACTTCTTATAACAGAGCACATGTTTATATAAATGAGAAATTTCTGCTTCTAGCTCATAAGATTTTTGAAAATAGAGCTGTTTGTGTGCTAAATTTTTATACATAATACTTTCTTTGTAAAACACATTTATTTTGGAATAATTTTAGGTTCACAGAGAAGTTGCAAATACGGGAAATTTGCTAGACCCCTAGCACAGTTTCCCCTAATGCTAATGTCCTATGGAACGCATGTGAACACTAAGACATGAACATTAGTGCATTGCTAATAACTGCAGATTTCACTAGTTTTTCCATTAAAGTCAATGTATTTTTTTAAGAATTATTTTATTTAACTTTATTTTATTTATTTATTTTAATTTGATCAGAGAGGAAGAGACAGAGAGAGAAAGAGAGAGAGAGAGAAAGTGAGAAAGCAAGGCACCAGGACCAGAACTCGAGCCATGGTTGGCCATGTAGGAGTCCGGCACCCTTAACCATCATGCTACTTTCTTGTCCCAGATATAAGTATTTTCAAAATAGGGTCAAAGGTTGTTTTTTTTTTTTTTACAACGACAATATATAAACAATTAAAATAATATTCTTGAGGCTTTTCTTTATCAATATCATCTTCCCTTCATAAGGATTCTTCTTCACTAAATGAAATATAAGTGACAATGATAATACAGCGATAGGTAGCTCTGGAATTGTGAGATATTCAATGTAGTATTTCTGAAATGCAAATGAAAGTCACTTTAAGACCAAGTGTTGTTTAGGTGGTAAAAATAAAAATTGTATTCTCTCTATACAGATATGGCAGGATTTCTAAACTGCATTATTTCAAGATTTACTTATTAATGTTTAAATAAAAGATATGGTCAAACTACAAATAAATTTTTCTCATAATTGTGGCTTTCCATTTTTATGGTACATTTTCACACTGTATGTTGGTATTGTTCCATAAGAGAGATGTAGGGTTTAGGGGGAGCAGAATCTTCCATAAAAGAGAATGCTCTTGGTTTGGTTGTGTCTGATGAAGAAGAGGAATGGGTGATCTACAGTGTACTTAAGAGGTCTAAGCCGAAAAACTATCTCACTCCCAGTACCCGCGGTGGCCTCTGTTCCTTGCTCATTTACTTCCACAAAAGACTTATGGAAAACATTGGACAGAAATAGGTTTCTGCCCATAGCCATTCCTGAGAAATCAGCTTTGCTCTGGCTGAAGGCGTCACTCATCCCCATTCTACTCAAGGTTGACTTGAGATCATAACTCTCTTCCAACTTGAACTTGGGAAGCTGCAGCTGCACTTCATACAGCTCCATCATGTCTGCACTGGTCCATTCATTCAATCTTTCATAGGTGAGGGCCTTTTCCAGCTGCAAGTTTGGAATGAAGGAAGAAAGAGTAATTTCAAAAGTGGACTGAGAAACAGTGGTTGAAGACCCCCTAGGAATTATGAACTTGAGTTATGATCACTTCCATACATATGTGGAAATCATTTGGTTGTGTAATGAAATCCTCCACACTGTTAGCCTCCAGAACCTTTGTTTTTGCAGATCGAAAGCTCTCAGTATATAGGTGACTCAGAATTTGATTCAAAAAGGAAGAACTTGAACACTAGTATACAAGACATCCACGATGCACTCAAACACATCAACATAAACATACATTTACATTCGTCTGCATGGGAGGAAGTTCATTGAGAAAACAATCTGGGATAAAATAAGATCTTTATACTCTGTAATCATGACAATATGAAGTTAATAACCAAAAAGTAAGCCCAAAAAGGCAAGGGGAAATTTTTTTTTTCTTTAAGAGAGATTTTTGTTATACAGCGTTTGCACTTACTGGAGAGACAGAGATAGAAAGTGAGAAATCATCCCCTAGGGAGGATGGCCATGCCTCAATCCTTTCTCCTCCATTCTCCTCTCAGAATTTTGTGCATGCACACATACACGCACACATACACACACACACAGAGTGAGTTTCAAGCCACCAGGTTCAAGACTCAGACCATGGTCAACCATGTGGGAGTCCAGTGCTTTAAACACTATGCCACCTGCTGGACCCCTAAATCTCCAAATCTTAAAAGTAATAACTTTTTTATAATGAGTGTGAAGGTGCTCCTTCTCCTTTTTATGTTTTTGGAGAGGTTTTTGCTATAGGGTGCATGTGCTCGCCAGACAGACAGAAAGAGACAGAAAGCGATAAATCACCACCCAGGGGGGATGGCCATGCCACAATCCCTTCTCCTCCATTCTCCTCTTGGGATCTTGGGCACGCACACACACACACCCGACATGAGTTTTAAGCCACCGGGTCCAGGATGCAAACCGCAGTCGATTACGTGGGAGTCCAGCGACATAGCCATTACGCTAACTGCTGGTCCCTCCTTTTTATGTTTTTGTATTTAATAATAAATATATACATATATGTATCTAAGTTTGATTTTTTTTTTTAAAAAAGATGCCTTTCTTTCAAAGTATATGCTTTTGCTATTTAGAGAGTTTTTCTAGATCTAAACATTGGATCTAGAAGTGAAATACTTGTAAATAATGTACATTCATAATGTGCAATATCTTCAGTTTTGAAACTTTCAATCCTAGAAGAAGCCCTAATCTTACAAGGGTGTAACTCTAATGGTTATTTGTCCATACTGATATAATTTTTTTACCAGTTTAACACATTTTATTTGACAATTAGGAACTCTTTTCTATACACTATTACAACTCTTGAAACTGGAAGCTTACAAGTATTAAGAATCTGGCACTGTAAAAAGAAAGATGAACTACCTGCTGCATGAGAGACTATCAGTGTTGACATGCAAATTGTTCAAAAACATGGTCTAACCAAATTTATGCCAGGCTTGGACCAGTTGGTGGCATGGTGGTTAAGGCAGCTGGATCCCACATGACTGGTAGCATGGTTCAAAACCCAGATCCAGCAGCTTGAAAAATATGCTGAGTGCATGGACATGCATGCTCAAAATCCCAAAAGAAGGGACAGATGGAAAAAAGAGGACTGTGGTATGACCATTCCCATGGAAGGTGCTTTCTCACTTTCCTTCTCTCTGTCTCTGTCTCTCTCAGGCAAGTGCAAATGCCCTCTGGCAAAATTGTGAAAAGAAATTTATGTCAGGCTTAAGAAAAAAAAAAAAACATGACTGATAAACAGTTTAAATATTACTTGAAGGTAGTACTAATACAACCAATATTTACTTAATAAAAATGTTTTCTAAAAATTTGGAAGACAGTCTATAGTGTGTGTGTATGTTCTCCTACCAGAGGAAGAGGACCTGAACTGACTGATAGATGGTTATGATCCATCCACACAGCTTCAGGACAACGAAGTGTATTTATATCTGTTTCACATGTGGGTTTTTGTGTGACCACCTCGTGCTAAAGTGTCTATAGGTTAGTTCATCTTTCTAAGATACTAACTTTATACAGTTTTATAAAATGTAAATGAAATTGTACAGGTTAAATACTGAGGTTCAAGGTATGTTGGTTGCCTTCCTTTATAAGAATTACAAAAGAGGGAGATCATGTCCTTATGTTCTATGCCAGTAAAACACAAGGGGTGAACACTGGAGCCATCTTCATATCAGATGATTGTTATATTTACCTGTTCCAGTCCACTAATGTCTTCTGGCAGTAGTATAAACAAGCTGAGATCACGACCCTTGTAGTAGAGTTGAAGGCCCATGGCTTGTGGATTTTCAATGTGAAAAATGTGAAGTTTTTCTTTCAAAGACATCATTTGCACTGGTTTGCTTATAGTCTAAAGAAAACAGCAAAGCCATTGAAGGAGTGTTCTACCAAATCTTGAATTCATTGCCATCATTGGCATCCAGTTATTTGGGACAATGATGAAATTGGTGATCCTCTGCTAAATGCTAAATAAAGTTATACAGACCTTGACTTCTGGAAGTATGTATTCTACTAAACAACAGCACCCATAGGGAATATGAGCTTTCCTGTTTCTAACATTATTGTAGCAATTTTTCTACATCATAACAAGGTGGATTTTTAACCAGACACTTAAAAGAATATATAACTTTATGCAAACTATTTAAATTCCAATCATTCAGAAACTGAATGAGATAAATATCACATGCAAATATTTAAGAAAGTATTATAATGTCATAAAAACTGAAATTCACTCAGGGAATGAAAAGACAAGCAATAGATTAAAAGAAAATATTTGCAAAGCACATATCTGATAAAGCACTGGTATTCAAAATACATAAAGAATTATTAAAATTTAAGAATAATCTTTAAAAATCCAATTTTCAAATGGGTAAAAGAGATGGGCCAGCAGGTGGCGTGGTGGTTGAGGCATTGGATCCCACTGGCCAACTGCAGTTTGAGTTCTGAACCCAGAAACTTGAAAAACATGCCAGGCATGTATATGCATGCCAAAAATCCTGAGAGGAGAATAGAAGAGAAGGAAGTGCAGTGTGGCCATTTTCTTGGCTGGTGATTTTACACCTTCCTTTTCTCTTTGTCTCTCTGTGAACACATGAACTCTATTAAAAGAGAGAGAGAGAGAGAGAAGAGAGAGAACAAAAATAAAAAGTGTGAAAGATTTGAACAGATACCTCGCCAAAGATGACATACAGCATCTGAAGAACGATCAGTTGTATGCCATTAAGGGACTCCAAATTAAACTCATCTATTAAAGTGGAGCTACAGATCTGTCAATGCCACTGTGAATGCAAAAAGACACAGCCACTTTGGAAGACAGTTCAGCAGTTTCTAACTAAGCTAAACATGGTTTTATCATATAATCTAGTAACTATGCCCCTAGTTTTTTACCCAAATGTGTTAAAAACTGTGTCTACATAAAAACGTGCCCACCAGTGTTCATAGCATTCATTATTGTCGAAAACTGGAAATCTCTAGGGTTGTGAAGTTAGAGGCTTACTACAGGACACCTATAATCCCTGGTCACATGGACAAATTCCATCTCCAGGATTCCAGAGAGCACCAGAAAGGTATAGGGGTGGAGAGAGAGAGAATGAGAACCGAGTCTTTTCAGAGCACATTTACCAGTGGCATTCTCATTTCCTCTCAGTTACATAAGCTAATGCTAATACAATTCCCATTTTGCTGTAGACAGCTTGGAATGTTTTCCTATCACTGACAATTCCTGTTGATTACACTAACCTGGGTAGCTATTCAGCTCTCTTCTTATTAGCCTGAGTTACACGTTCAGCCCTTCCCCATCCTCACCCCACTGATTAAGAAATGCCTGTTGCCCACACCCACACAATTGCAGCAACAGGTCCCCAGCTGCACTTTTTGTGCGACATGACTCACACTGGGACTAAACACCTGTAATACACCTTGGCAAGTTGGTTTCTCTCCTAGAATTTGGAATGGGATTTATCAAACTGCTCTGTAGGATGGAGGAGGTGTTGTGGGTAGCCATGTTTTGCTACTGTGGACCAGGAATCGACGAAAATTACTTCAACCTGAGTGAGTAATGATATGAGAAACAGAGATGAAAATACAGAGGAAAAAATTCTGACAATATCTGACTTGTTTCCACTCAGGTCTCAAGTCCAGTGGCAGCCCAGCTTTTGCAATCTATGGAATATATATTTTAATCTTATTACCAATATTTTCTTTTTATGAGAGAGAGATTTATTTGCTATAGGGCATCTTCACTCGCTGGAGAAACAGAGAGAGACAAAGGAACAGAAAGTGAGAAATAACCCCCCAGGGGGATGGCCATGGTGCAATCCCTTCTCCTATTCTCCTCTCTGGATTTTGGGTACACACATACACACTCCCGGCATGAGTTTCAAACTGCCAGATCTGGGACTTGAACAGTGGTCAACTACATGGGAATCCAGCACTTTAATCACCATACCATCTGCTGACCCCTATATCTTTAATCGTATATTAGTCCACCTTTTTGCTGTAATGAGTTACTGTCACTTGGTATAGGAACAAGTATATTGTATCCCAACACAGAAACCTAATGAATGAGGTGACACTTAACATTTTATTGTTTTTATTTATAGAGGGGTAAGTATTGGGTAGGAGAGAATGTTGATTTAGTAGAAAAAGAACAGAATTTCGATGAGCAGCCTTAGGTCCTCCTCATCATGGACTGCTTCTAATTCAGACTTGTCTCAAGTCACTTGGCTACACCGTTGGAAATCAATGTAAATAAATGTAAAAACTACCTTACCTAGCTCACATGGCATTAGCAAGAACTGAGTGATAATGTTTGGGTTATCTGTACTCAGAGTAAACCAGTGACATTTCTGGGTACAGTGTAACTGGGGACTTGTAGGCCAGCCATCTTTTCCCTCTAAAGAGCCATAGTTTACAGAAACATAGAACCAGAAAGACAAGTGGTTAACTGTAAAATGCAATTGGACTTTACAATGCCGTGAGAAAATCCAAATTCATCTTTAACAGGTTCCTACCTTGTTTATTCTAAAAGGTTTTTCTGTGGTACTTTGCACTGAAAATTGATGTTCCCAGGTTCCTTTGAAGTAAAGGGCATTCACCAGGACCATCCTGGTCATAGAATCTACAGAGTCATCAGCTAGGAGATTTGGGATTTTACCTAAAACAGCAAAAAGACATGTTTCAAATGACTAGTAAAAAGTCATGTATTTTAACCAAAGACAACCAGACTTCCATTTTTTCTGGAACCCTGAAAGTTTTGTTTATGTTCTTGTTCTTGTTCTAGATATTCCTGAAACGAGACAATTTAGAGATAATACTACCCCTCTCCAGAATAGCCATGAGTAAATAGGGAAACACTAGGGAAATAAAATGCAGAATGCTCAGTAAGCATTATTCCACATGAAGAATAAATTTGTGTTATAATTATAAAAACTTCCCTTTAATATGAGTTGATTTATTCCCCTCGTTTGAGGTGACTGAAAGGCTTCTTTCTCTGACACTTCTGTTTCAAGCTGTAGACTGCTCTAATTACCATCTGAAAGTTTGTGCCAATGTTTTCCCATGGCCCAAAACATTGCTTTGTGCAATCGCTTATATCAGAATATTCTAGTTACTGCTTCAAGTAGTGCTTAGCTGGCAGCCCCCAACTTATTCTCTCCAAACTCCCAAACTGAAGCATCTCAAAAGATTTATAAAATTATACCAAATAAGGTACTGAGGTTTCTTATAGAAGCAATGATTTGATAACTGTGGTAGAATTAGATTGAGAAAAATCTCCCAGTCAACCAAGCTTCACTCTGAAATAAAGACTATGTATACTGAAGGACTTATCATTTGAATTTAAAATACAAAGATGGGAGAGATTTAATAATGTTAAAGAATATGGGACCAGCAGATGGCGTAATGGCTATGTCTCTGGACTCCCATGAAGTCGACCATGGTTTGAGACCTAGACCCAGTGGCTTAAACTCACGCCAGGCATGTGTGCATGTGTGCCCAAGATCCCGAGAGGAGAATGGAGGAGAAGGGCTGCAGTGTAGCCATCCCCCTGGAGGGTGATTTCTTGCTTTCTGTCTCTCTGTCTTTCTGGCGCGTGCACGCGCCCTATAGAAAAACCTCTTTAAAAAAATAATGTTAGAGAATAACTCATAGAACCTAGTTTAAAGAAATGATAGGGATGATTATCCAGGAAAATGTTAATAGAAACTCAAGAATCAGTAGAAAACCTGAAAAGAAAATCAAACATGACTCAAATGTAAGAACTGTCAAATTACCTCCTGTGAAAAGAGTCCTAACATTTACAGTTAATTCCTTTAAGAATTTTTTAATTTTATTTTATTTATTATTATTTTTTAATTTGCTACAGAGCACACATGCTCACTGAGAGAGAAAGAGAGAGAGAGAGAGAGAGAGAGAGGAGAGAGAGAGAGAAAGGAAAGTAAGAAAGCAAGCCACCAGGTCTGAGATTCAAACCAGTTGGCCATGCCATGTGGGAGTCCAGGGTCCAAACTGCCATGCCACCTGCCAGCCCCTAATGTGAATTCTTTTAAATCTTTAAGTTATTTACAACACTCTGTACTCTTAAAACAGTTTCAAAGCATAAAATAGTCCTGTTTACTTTCATGAAGCAACAACATATTCAGTATGAAAACATGACAAAAGTAGCAAGAAATCCCATCTATAAACCAATCCTTCTTGTGCGTAGGAACAAGAAAATCGTAAGTTAAATTTTGGCAAATAAATCTAATTAACATTATGTCAGGAATATAAGAAAAACATATTAGGAACTCCATTAACATAAAGCATTGTTACAATGGTCTGAATATGTATGTCCCTCCAAAATTCCTATGTTGTGAGCTCAATGTGATAGTGTGCAGAGGTGGGACCTTTGGAAAATGAACAGGTCATGAGGGCTCGGCTTTCATGAATGAGATCTGTGTCCATATAAAAAGGGCTGATTGAAGTTTCTTGCCTTTAAACAATGTGAAAATGAGAACACAGCAAGACATCAACATCTTGGAAGCCCTCACCACATACTAAATTTACTGGCATCTTGATTTTGGACTTCCCAGCCTCTAGAGCTATGAGAAATAAATTTCTATTAATTAATATATAAATTACCCAACATAAGGAATTTTGTTGTAACAGCTCAAATGAACTGAGATAATTACTTTAACAGATGATAGAAAAATTATATTATCATCCTTAGAGATTAAAAAATACATTCAATATATTTAAATATCAACTTAAAACTTAAAACTATACTTAAGTGAAAATGAAAGAGTATTTCCTTAATATGAAAAAGAATATTTATCTTCAGGACCAGCAGTTAGCTTAATGGCTATGTCGCTGGACTCCCACATAGTTGACCGCAGTTTGAGTCCCAGACCCAGCGGCTTAAACTCACGCCAGGCATGTGTGCGTGCGTGCCCAAGATCCCGAGAGGAGAATGGAGGAGAAGGGATTGCGGCGTGGCCACCCCCCGAGGGGTGCTTTCTCGCTTTCTGTCTCTATGTCTCTCTGTCTTTCTGGCGAGCACACATGCCCTATAGCAAAAATCTCTCCAAAAAAATAAAAAAAGAATATTTATCTTCAACAAACTTTCATAATCGTGCTGAGATACATTAGTAATATTTATGATTTGCAATGATCTCTATTCTATTACTTTTTTCCTAAAATGTAATAGGGCATTTAACAGCCACATGAATGAAAAATTACCTTTTGATGATAATGTATATGGTAATATCGTTTGTTTTATTGATACTTACTGCATTTATGCTAGGAAACCATCTTGTACACAGTGATATACAATGATTAAATGCACATTTAAAAAATGTAAAAAATAATACAAATTTTAAAAGTAATAAAGCAAATAAAATAAAATAATTAATGTAATAAAGCAAGACAACTAAATTGGGTATAATTATATAAAAAAAGGAGACAAAATTATTGTTTGTAGATGTGAAAAGTAGGAGAATCAATTGAGAAACAATGAAAACTATTAAGAAATTTCTTCCAGGTGCTGAGTTACACTATTATGCAAAATACACATTTTTTCTATCTTCCAACAATAAGCAAATAGAAAATAGTAAATTATCCTTTTTAAATGTCATAGCTATAAAAATTAGTATTATCAAACAGTTAAATGATAGAATCTTATATACACCAATGATCCAAACTTGGAAATTAACATTGATAGGCTACTATTAACATGTCATATTTCTCATGTTTCATAACATGTCATTATTGTTTCAATAAAGTCCTTTTTTTCTAGGCCAGAAATGGAAATTTTCACATTATACTTAGTTATAATTTCTTCCTGGTCTCCTATTTTTTTTCTTTCTCTTTCTTTCCTTTTTTTTTTTCATGACACATGTGATCATGAAAGAGAGACAGAGACAGGGAAAGTGAGAAATCACCCCCCGCCCACCCCAGGGAGGATGTACACAATCCCTTCTCTTTTAATCTTCTCTTGAGATTTTGGGCATGCATGCTACATGTTTGGCAGGACCCTCAAGCCAACAGGTCCAAGACTTGAACCACCATCAGCCGTGTGGGAGTTCAGTGCCTTAACACCACCTACTGGCCCACTTCATCTCTTTGCTTAGATAATTCTGCTTTTCATTGTTTTTCATGACCTTCATACTTCTGAAAAAGGCTTGCCATTATTTCATAGAATTACATTGAATTCTGAATTTTGGTTTATCTGATGGTTTTTAAATATATTAGGGTATGCATTTTTGTGAAAATATCACTGAGGTTGGATTTTGTTTCTCAAAAAAAGACATGTTCTAATTCCCCGTACCTGTGAATGTGACCTTATTTGGAAAGAGTCCTTATAGATGCCATCATGTTAAGAAGATCTGGATCACAATAATGCAATGACTGAGTTCTTTATAAAAGGACCATTTGAACATAGACATACAGAAAAGAAAATCAGCAGAGACCTAAACACAAAACAGAAGGCCATGTGCCAACAAAGGCAAAGATCAAAGTAATGTACCTACAACCAAGGATTGCTGGAAACCACCAGAAGCCAGCAGGGAGGCATGGGAAAGCTCCCTCCCTCAGCCTTCAGAGGGAGTGTTTTGGACACCCAGTCTCCAGAATTATAAGACAATACATTCCTGTTGTTTTAAACTACCCAGTTTGTGGTAATTTGTTATGGAAGACCTGGGAAACTAAGAAAACCACAGAAACCATTGTCCTTCTCAATGAGTCATACCAGGAAGTATATGATACCCTTATGTCCTATTACTGGTGAGGCTAATTTTTATCACTTTATTACATACCTGTAAAATTACTCTTTTTCCCCTTTTTAATTACTAGGTATCTTGTGGGAAACTATTTTGAGGCTATGGAAATATTCCATTTCTCCTCAGACTTTTGTCCACTAAAGTTTAACATCTATTTATGACTCTCTCCTAAAACAATTATTACCGTGGTTGTTATTACAAATGGTGACTTTCTATTTTCAGCATTATTCTATGTGTATGAACAGGAATTCTACAATGAGGAGGAGCTTTCCCTTATCCTTAATTTATTTAGGTATTCAACTATTTATTTAAATTTATACTCATAGATTTTTTTATTCTATGGGCTATAACTCAGTACTATCATTTTTAATTTTGTCATTTTTCCCCAGATATCATCATTGTAAACTTCCTTTATTGGCTCCTATGTCTTTTTGACATATACCTAGATATTTTTCACATTTTCTTACCTTCTGGAAACACAAAAGTATTTGAATTAATTCAAGTGGGCTTAAACTAAGAAATCAGTAAGCTTATTTTAATATGCAATCAAGATTGCGAGCCAATGATTGGAGTAAATGGGCCTATTGACATTTTCTATGTCTCTGGGTGCCTGAAATGGTTTGCAAATATGTTAGCTTACAGGCTAGAGTAATGAGGGCATTGTATGTCATGGTGGGGTTAGAACAGTGTCTCCGAGTAGCTAGGAATTCCCAAGAAAAGTTAGGAGCCTTCCACACCCAGAACACAAGTTATGAGCACAGCACATCAGCACTGCTCACCATACTCAAGTTACTCTGATCAAACTTATGAGCCAAAGACAGGTCAATGGGAATCTCGAACAAACAAACAAAAGGGCAGGAAACCAAAATGATTGAACAATTAAGAAAATCAACCCTATGAAAGTGAAGCACCAAACTAAAAACACAGAATAAGAAAATAGAAAAGAAGACTTAAGAACAAGCAAAATTTACCAATCAAAGATGGTAGGTGATCTTGCCTAAAGTAAAGAAATAACTGAGAACAGTAGATCTTGAGGGATGGAAATGATCATCAAAGTAAAACATGCATAGTATTCAAAGTAAAACTCTTAATTAGGTGGAATGAATAGCCAAATGAACACAGCTGGAACAAATTTATGAACCAGAAAAGTGTAACAGAAGGGCCAAAAGATGAAAGTAAGTATAAAAGGAAAATTGAAGCATGTAGGATAGATTCTTAGGTTCTAAATTTATTTATTCATAACACTGAAAACAAAATGAGAGAATAAATAGAAAAATAAATAAAATACACAATTCTTTTACCTGTAGGAATAATTAAATGCAGATTTAAAAGGAGTACCAGGCAGAATTTTAAAATAAATAAATTATAAAAATGAAGGAAAGACCTTTGCCTAAAACATAATGCTGAAACTTCAGAACACCAAAGAGAAAGTAAAAATTCTAAAATCTTCTGAGGAGAGTGTTGGGTTCAGGTGTGTGGTTTTCCTTAACAGTGTTGGATGCTGTTGTCTACAGGAAAAATGAATTTTAAAGCTCCCATAGTCAGTCATTCCACTGATAAAGCAGAAAAAAATAAGGACATTTTCAGATACTGGATTTCTTAGATATTTCATCATTTATAGATGTTCTGACCCATATTTTTAGAATGGTAAGAGGATGTATCCCAACAAATAAAAATGAATCAAAGAGGAGACCAGCAGGTAGCATAATGGTTACATTGTTGGACTCCCATTTAGTTGACCATAGCTCAAGTCCCGGACCCAGCAGCTTAAAACTCATATTGGGCACGCGTGCATGCATGCCCAAAATCCCGAGAGGAAAATAGAGAAGGGATTGCAGTGTAGTCTTCCCCACTGGGGGGGGGGGGTGATTTCTCACTATCTGTCTCTCTGTCTCTCTCTGTTTCTCTAGCGAGTGTACATACCCTATAGCAAAAATATCTCTCTACATAAATAAATCAGTTAATCAAAGAGATGTGAGAGAGAAGCAACCTTGATAAAGAATATAATTAGTAAATATATTGCTGATGATGAACATTTTTAAAAAAATATCACATGAAACTAAAATCTCAGAAACACAAGAAGAAAAGCAGAAAATGAAAGCATGTTAATTTCTCTGTTTTATTTGAGAGGAAGTGATACTGATTAACTGTAGATGTTGAAAAAAAAAGAATAACTACAACATGGTTTACATGTAAGTGAAACACTAGAAAGGTAGAACTAAGTTCTATAATACCCAAAATACCAGAGAAGAAAAAGGAACACATAAAAACTTTAATCACTACAATGGAGAAAATGAAAGGGAAAAAGAAAGAAAGAACCCATGGTAAGTGGAAAGTCCTAAATAAAATAGCAATAGGAGGCACAAAATATAGACTTTAATTCAACTTCAAAGCAGTTACAGAACATATCCAGTGCAAGCAAAATATTTTCTCTTGAGAGCTGAAGTGCCACCTACTGGCTCACTCACTGCACACACACTTGGCCCTTCTGGTAATGGGAAGGGCATGCTCTTCAGTCAGGGTGAGTCTGCTGGACACAGATTAGGATGGACACTAGAGGGCCCAACGTGCCAAGCATATTCTCAGTGTTGAGATTACAAACATGCATAAGATTAGAAGACAAACTAGAAGAAAAAATTGCAAGATATGATTGATATGGTTGTTAACAATTTGGCTATACATGCCTCAGTGAGTATATCCATATGGCTTCATGGAAGAAGGCCCATTGAAAGCTCAAGGAAAGAAGTTTCTTTCAATGGTTCAGGTAGAACCTAACTGCCAAAGTTTCTAGCACCTTTTCCTTAAGGATATGTGACACATTGGGCAGAGTTCCTAAATAGCTGATAAATTTCTTATTTTATTTTATGTTAAATAGCCTCCAATACAGATATTTGTGTCCAATGTGTACGTGCCTATGTGATCACACGTGATCTCACGGACACTACAACAGTGTAAGTACTCAGTAAATGCTAACTAATATTTAATTCTTAAAAGCCTGACTTACTTTTAGATGAATCCATATCAGGAATAGGTTAAGTATAATGGACATTCTTACTTCACCATGGCTTTTGCATCTCTTGTTCAATATAAAAGAAACTGAGAAGTTAGAGCTAAAAACTTTCTTGATTTATTCTAATAAACGTTAATGTTCTACACAACTATTTTGAGCAGGCCTGTTATGTGTTAGTGATTCAAAGCTAAAATGCAAATAAGGCAGAGTGACTGCACTTGGGATTCTTGCATCTAGTAAGGGAAGCAGATGGATAGTAGTGAATTTCAACAACAGCATGTTAACTGTCAAAGTAAAAGTTTGCAAAGTTTTACATGTATAGGAGTGATGAGATAGGTGTTTAGCCTATCTGTGTGAAGCCCTGAGAAGTTAACCAGGAACAGAGGAGAGGTCGAGGTAGCAGGACAGGGAAATTGTTTCAGATCAATAGCATGAGTCAAAGAACAGGATTGTTGAGTAGCACAGGAAACTTGGGGAACTCTGCAATGCTTTGAACTATTGAGATAAAAATTTTGAATCAGAGAGTGACAAAATTAAAGTAGAGAGAGTCAAGGATCCATGGCTACCTTGGGACTAACACATCAGATTGGGATCTGGTATTGAGCCTGTGCGTCATAGAAAAGTGTGGACAAGCAATGAGTAAAGAAATGTCATGGTCTATCTAGTCCAATTCACATTTTAAGCAAGTCTTTCACATGATCAGATCAATATTAACTAGTAGCTATTTTAAAAACACATAGATGCAGCAATATATCATATTTCCTTTCTGTACTTTTCTGCATATTACCCTTACACTCCTCTTTGAAATTAGTAGAATATGATAATTTTCAGTCTGCTTGGTAAAGTGATGAGTTAATTTATTTGTCTTAGATAAGAATTGTTGGGAATTCTGTGAATCAAAAATTATGGCCATGAATAGAAATAAATGTTCTGAATAATTAGGATATGCCTCCAGTTCTATTTGAGAAATGGACTTTCTTACATATGACACCAATTCCAATAAATAAGGCTACAAATTCAGTATCTTAGTCATGTTAGTCACATTTAAAATCATCGATAGCTACATGTGGATAAAAGCTACCACGTTACACAGTACAGACTAATGCCACATTTCTATTATCACAGGAAGATCTTGGAGAAAGACGAAATTATGCTTAAAGAGAGAACTTTGGTGAAAACTTACCCTCAGTCTGACTTTCAACCCATGAGTTGATCTCCTTTCTGATTTGGTCAGAAGCTTCCACAAAGTTAACAGACTGTGGCTCTGAACCAAAATATTTTTTCATGTCTCCTAAATATTTCTGAAAGATACAGATTAAAATCTCTTTTGTAGGATTCATCCGAAACTGAGAAATCAAGTCTATTAAAATTACCCAAAGAACTAGGTAGATGGACCATTGAAAACTCCTCCCTATCACTCCCTTCTCTCTTTTCCCATTCCCAATTTTGTCCAAAAAATAAACACCCACTCTTCAAACTTAGGAGGGCACTGCCCAGCCATATTGATCTCTGAATATGGAAGGAAGGACTGTTGCCCATAGTTCAGGGACTTCCACATCCTCTTTTCTATTTTTATTCATGCTGGAAATAAGGCTAGAATGATAAAGGAGGAGCTATCACAGGAGTGACCCCACTGAACTGGCATTCTGGGACAACAACGAAACACAGTGAGCCCTATGGGTCTGGAAGCTGCCTTCTGTGAACTCTGGAGCCTTGTGGAAGGCCCTTGAAGAAAACTACATTCTGCCACATGAACTAATCTCTAAGGATTATCAAAGGTTTCACCTAGGCATCTTCTTTTGACCCTTTTATGTTCACCCCCGTGGCTAACATTGTAAGTGGGCTGTCACTGAGGTGGCCATTTGTGTGGACTCCTGCTTTGGGAATATGATTAAGTCTTCGGGACAGTTGTAGGATTTCTTCAGTCTGCTTTCTTTGTGGAGGGCTTCTAAGCAGTAAAAAGTGGTGAGTTAATTTCTTCTTATAGAAAGTGGTCTGAAGATTATGTAGCCCAAGTTCAGTGGGATTCATAATCCAGTAAAAAAAGGAAAGAATTCATGAGGCATCACTCCCTGTATTGACTCAGGGGTTCTGACAGACTTTATGGGGACATCCATAGCTTGTGAACATTTAACAAGGTGCTGTCCCTCTGGTTTCCAAGTGCCTACTGAACTCATCATCTCTCCTATTTCAGATTCGAACGATGGTCCATGAGCCTACCGGCAATGAAACTGTCTTTAAGATCCCATTTGCTGGACCAGCCTAGTTGTAGTTTATAGTGTACTACACCACAGTGCTGGACACCACTGAAGTTCAGATCCCCACCCCAGCTGGCCTGTAATATGTCAGCACACATGTGGGCTCAAGATCCTTATTGCTTAGAAGAAGGGAATCATACATGACCAGACCCTGTTGAGGATGCTCATTCTCACTTGCATGCACACACACACACAAACACAGAAACACACACAAGCAACCCCATTTGACCAGTTTTATTGTCTTTAGTAATAACAAAGTCTAGTTTTGAACCCCCCCCCTATTCACTGGAGTAGGACAGGAATAGCATTGCTTGAAGTCACAAGACAGTTTTAGTTTATGTTCTCACTGCCTATCTACCCTAGCTAATTTCCCTACAAAGCCCACTAGGCATCTGAATCCTGTTCTCTTAATGCCAAAATATGTGATAGACAAATCTGGCAGAAGCAAGTGACTGACTTGGTTTGTAGCATACCACTATATTCTCTTTGTAAAATTATTTTATTTAACGTTATTTATTCATTCATTTATTTATTTCCATTTGACCAGAGAGGGATAGAGAGAGAGTAACCTGCCAGATCCAGGACTCGAACCATAGTCAGCCATGTGGGAGTCCAGCACCCTTAATCACCAAGTCACCACTTTATGCTTAATGAGACAAAGTCATTGTGGTGTGCATTGATCAGGTTTCAACCGTTAGGGAAGGGAAGACATTGATATTAACTCATGTTCCAGGTTTCCAGAGTCTCTAAAGTCTCAATGTGAAGACTTCCACTTCTCTCATCCCAAAGTCAGCTTTGCTCTCAAGCACACAATCTCCAGCGACTGTTCTGTGATCACCCCTCTGTTCCTTCAGACTAACTTTGCTTATTAAAAATTCCTCTACATTTTTTGCTCTCCATCTCTTTTGAAATAAATGTTGATCCAGGGATTATGCAGATCACATTTCTATGTGCGTTCATGGGCTGCCCTGAGGGGTACTCCTTCATTCTGAACTTTAAGATCTGATCACTAGATCTGATTTGAGACCCATTATTGGCCTCCTTTATAGGTAACCACTTATTGGATGGTCTAAATGGTTGTTTATCTGGAAGTATTGATTACATTAAGATTATGTCTGGGATCCTTACAGGAAGTACAAAGAATTTATTGATTGAACTCACATTGCTTGGACATTTGCACTTACATTTTTAAATGGATATGTCTTCTCCCCATATAACCTGTTGGCTGCTTTGAGTATGTAGGCATTGCTGGGCTTGGTAATTTCTGAGATGAGCGTCTGAAAATCAGAGTGTATTTCTTCAACTTTGCCTGGGTTGCATTCCTTTGGAAGAAGAGAGATCAGTCTAATAAAAATGTTGAACAACAGCTTCATATATGTGAGCAACCTATAGCTCAATGAAATTATTTGGTATTTTGCAAACTAAAGCTGAAAGCACTCTAAGGTTGATATAAATGTTTCTTTAATGTTGCTGCAAAACATTTCAATGTAATTGGAAATACTATTTTATCATATTTAGTTTGCAAAGGCAGGCAAAATAAGTTTGAAAGTAAAGAAGTTTCAGGAAGGATAATAATGACATAGAGATAAAGAGAAAGAATATGACAATTCAAAAAGTATAGAAATCTTGGGAACCAGCAGTTAGTGCAATGGCTATATCGCTGGACTCCCACGTAGTCGACCATGGTTCAAGTCCCGGACCCGGTGGCTTAAAACTCACTCCGGGTGCGTGTGCGTACATGCCCAGGATCCCAAGAGGAGAATGGAGGAGAAGGGATTACAGCGTGACCATCCCCCCTGGGGGGTGATTTCTCGCTTTCTGTCTCTATGTCTCTCTCTGTCTTGCGAGCGCACACGCCCTATAGCGAAAAACCTCTCCAAAAAAAAAAAAAAAGTATAGAAATCTTACTTTTGGAAAAACATTTTTATCCTTGAAATATGTTTCTATGAAAAGTTGCCCATTCGAGAACCAGCAATTAGCATAATTGCTATGTCGCTGTACTCCCACGTAATCGACAGCGGTTCGCGTCCTGGACCCGGTGGCTTAAAACTCACACCAGGCACATGTGCGTGCGTGCCCAAGATCCTGAGAGGAGAATGGTGGAGAAGGGATTGCAGCATGACCATCCCCCCTGGGGGGTGATTTCTCACTTTCTGTCTCTATGTCTCTCTCTGGCTGTCTGGTGAGCGCACACGCCCAATAGCGGAAAAAAAAAAAAACTTTCCAAAAAGTTGCCCATTAAAAGTTGCTTAAATTAACCACTAATATACTGCTGCTCAAAGCATTTTTTCTTAATGATCAAATGGATATTAAAAATTAATATATACCATTTTCCTTTTTTTTTCACTTTCAGGAGAATATTTGAAGTCCTGATCTCTGTTAAATTGAAGAACCTGTAATTTCAATAAAAGACAACTGAGTACACATTTCAGAGAAGTAATCATAAAAAAAACATTAAATAGCCATTATTACATATAATATTTTTCCTATAATTATAGAACACTTAATTAATTAAACAAGAGTGCTCTGATTTTACTTAAATGATGTGTTAAACTAATAGAGTAAGTCAAGAGATTATTTTAAATATATTTCTTAAGGTCTACATATTTCTAATATCTTGATTTTAACATTTTGTACAAAATTTAGGATGATGTTGGGAATACTATGAGCTAAGACTTTTCTTATTTTTAACATTTTACTTCTATCCATGGTAGTTCAATTGAGGTAATTATTTAGACAATTTTTTTCAAAATGTAATTTTTAAATTTGTGCTGCCATATTAGATCTGTCCATATTTATGCAGTGTAGTATGATTTTTCAGTTTATGAATGCAGTATGTAATCAAATCAAGATAATTAGCATATTGATCCTTTCAAACATTTATCATTAGTTTGTGTTAGGAATATTCAAAATCCTCTGTTACCTATTTTTACTTATATAGTAAATTGTTATTTAAGCAAAGGCTACCTCACCCCAATATCTCAAAAACTCAGGGATTTTACAGCAGTTAGTGCAATGGCTATATCGCTGGACTCCCACGTAGTCGACCATGGTTCAAGTCCCGGACCCGGTGGCTTAAAACTCACTCCG